TTTTTTTTATAGGAAGTTATAATGTATATTTATTAAATAAACTAAAAAAAATATTTTAAAATATTAACAAATTATAATATTTTTTATAGTATTATAAGATAAATTTATAATATTGATATTTATGTATAAACAAAATTTTTTATTTTAAGTAAAGCAAAAAGAAAGTTTTAAAATAAAAATCTAAATAAATATTTAAGAAGTGATTCAAATATAATCTTAATTAAATTTTTACTATATATTATTAATATTAATTATAATTTTAAACTATTTTTAGTTTAATTTCTATTTAATATTTTAATATATAATTTGCTATATATTTTATAATTTTTAGTTATAAAAAAATATTAATTATATTAGTTAATTGCTAAAAAAATCAGGTTCTGAAAATTTTTTAATAAAATTAAAAATTTTAGTTTTGATATTATTAAATTAAAATATATTAAATTCTTAAATTTAGTTAAAAATTTCTCAGAATCTAATTTTTCTAAAAATCATTTATAACTTTTGAATTAGATTTTAATTAATTTTTAATATATTAAAATTTTATATTATAGTGATTATTTTTAAAAAAGTATCAAAAATATAAAGAATATAAAATATCTATAATACTAAAGATGTAATTTTATAAATCTAAATTATATATTATTATTTTGTAATATTCTAAAAGTAATTCTTCATAAATATTTAAGATTAAAAAATAGTATTTAAATATAAATTTTTATATAGTAGATTCATATTTTAGTTATTTTACTAGATTATTTATAATATATAAAGTTATACAAATAAAATTTTTAGCTTCTTATTTCTATATAATAAAATCTGATCAGACCATCTGATAAAAAATTTATTTTAAAAAAATTTAACAAATTTTAAAAAATGATTAGTCAATTTAAAAATAAATTTTATTTTTTATTTAAAAAATTGATCAAAAAATTTACATATTTTAATAAAAAATTTTCTAATTAGTGATCTAGCAAAAAATTTATTAGTTGTGATTGAATAAATATTAAATTTTTACATGAAAATAGATAAATTAAAATAATAAAGATTTTTTATTTTTAGTTGAAAAAAAATGTCTTTTATAAATATAAAAATTACACAAGTAATCAAAAAGAAATATTTAAATATTAAATATATCTAATTAATAAAAACTTCTCATTATATAAATTTTTTTATTTATTAGTAATTAAAAAAATTTACCAAAAGTTTTTATAATAAAGACTATTATAATTTTTTATTAAAAGTAATAGTAAGCAATTTATTAAAAAAAAATTTGTTATTATTAATATTAAAGATGATGTCGCAATTAGTTGCAATTAGTTACAACTCAATTTTATTAATGTTGCAACTAGTTATAATCTTATGATACTTATTTATCACCAGTTGTAACCAGTTGCAATGTCATTTTTAATTAATATTCATTGTAAACTTAATAAATTTTGAAAATTTTGTTTTATTTGAATTATAACTTCAGAAAATTATTAATCACTAATACTATAAAAAAAAGTATTTAATTTATTTATTTTTAATTTTATTCAACTATTATTATTTTCTTTCAAATTATCAAAAAAATAAATAAAAAAGATTTATTATGTAATGATATAATAATATAAATTAAAAATTATAATAGAGGTTAACAAAAAAAATTTATAGTAGAATTAATATAAATATTTTTTATTAATAATTTAGTAAATGCTATATAATATATAAATATATATAGTATTAAAAAAAATAAAAGGAAGAGTGATATATTTACCTAAAGAGTTTAAAGATTTTTAATAGATCAGATATATTAAACTATAAATATGTAAGATCAAAATTTATTATAATTATTTATATTAGTATATAAATTTACTTTTTAGATTTTTAAATATATCATAAATAGATAATTCACAGTTTTTTAAATTTATCTTATTGTAAAAAAATTTCTAATATTTAAATAAATATTTTATATATTTAAATACATAAAATAATGAAATGAATAAAAATAATCAATTAGAAATTTTTGTTAAATTTAATTAATAATTTTATTAGAGTAAAAGTTTACATTTTTTACTAATATTTATAATAATTTAAATAATAAACTATCTATCTTATCTTATTGAAAACTAAATATTAATTTATTTGTATTTTTTAAACTAAGATAAATAAAACAAATTATTTTAATTTAAAATTTTTATAAATTTTACTAAATTTTTTTTTAATAAAAATAAAATTTATTCAAAGCTTACAAAAAAATATTTATTATAGAATTGGTATTTTTTATTATTTATCTAAAAATAATGTATTTTATGCATATTTTATAGCAAATAGATAAAAATTTAGAAGATGAAGAAGTAACAAATAAATTTTATATAATTCTTAACCAATTAAAAATGAAATGCCAATTTATTATATTCAGTTTATGCATATACAATTCAAAAAATAAAGCTTACTTAATATTGGTATATTAACTAAAAATCATCAAATTTATGTATTAAATTAAAAACTAATTAGTGATTTAAGTTCAGCAAGTAATATAATAGAAAAGTAATTTAGATTATATATAAAATAATTGATTAATAATAGAGATGAAAAAATAGTATAGATTTTTAAATAAATTAAAAATATATTTTGAATTCTGAAAATATATTAAATAATACCTTAAAAAATATACTGCAATTGATAATAGAAGACATAGAACTATTATATATTTATCATATGATATATCAGTTTGAGATATGATTGCTTAAGCTATAAAAATTTATTTGAATATTAGTTATATATATAATTTAGCTCTAATAAAGAAACTGTCAAAATATCAGAATATTATACTGAAAGATTAGATATTAAATATATAATTTAAGTATGTCAATTACATATTAACCATTCTGATTTTTATTATATGTTAGCATTATTTCTATATGAAAGAAAATTAGCAATTAAATATAAAGAGATACAAATCTATTTTTTTTGAATGATAAACAGTAATATAAAGTTAATAAGCTAAACTATTCAATAGTTGTTATAAAATAGTGATTGTAATTAATAGAATAACTTTTGCTATCGCAGATTATAATTTTATAAAATGTGTTCTCATCTTAAGTGACATTATACAAGCTGAAATATCTAATTTTATAGATGATTCATTTTATTATAATAATATTTATGTAGGCTTAAAAGATCCTATATTTAAACCATCAAACGTAATAAAATATACTTTTGAACTTTATGATATAATTATTAAAACAAATAAATTTATTTGTTTTTATATGGACCAGATCATCAGGTGAAATTATTAAATACAGCTTGTACATATTTAATTAATTAGCATTAGATTTAGATTATTTAGTAATATTATGAATATCACCTGTTTATTTCTAAAAGAATCTGATAGAAAAAATCATATTTATATTAAACTTAAAATTTCAATATGTTAGTCTTATGTATTAAAAGGTAAATAAAATTAGAAGAAATTATATTAAAATGCAATAATATGAATGATATTAGAAAAGCAACTGTAGAAAAACTTAGATTAAAAAAAGAACTTAAGAAAAGCTTAATTGTTTTATTAAATGATCTAATTAAATAATATTGATGTTACTCTTTCTGTTACTATGATTTTAAATTAAGAAAATAATAACTATGACTTAATTTAATTAACTTGATATGATATTCTATATATAAAATTGGTTTTTAGAAATTTAACCATTCTAATAATACAAATTTCTAATAATTTATTCAATAATAATAGTAAATTTTTTAATTTAACAACAAATTGACAAAATTTTTTTGATTTTATCTCCTACATATTTCTAGATAATGTAAGTAATATATCAAAATGAATAAAAGACATATTATTAAATTCTTGATCAAATTTGACTGCAAATTGATTACCATTTGCTATTATATTACTTCTAATATCTGTTGTCATAGCAAGAATATTCTAACTAATTATTGAATTCTTCAAAAAGTTGTGAAAGTTTGCTTGTAATTAATTCAGCTCTATGAGAACCATTTATAGGAATTATATCAAATAAAAGATTCTTTAAATTCCCAATTATTATTAATATAATGAATAATTATTCCAAGATAACAATCTTTTGGATCTAATGTCCATATATCTGTTATGAGAGATATTTTTGAATTAATTTGTGAAATTTTGTCTATTAAATCATTTCTTTTGTATTATAATTTTTTACAAATTTTTCTTTTAAAGTTTGTCTACATGGTAAAATCAATTGAGGATTCAACTTATTAATTAACAGTATTTTCAACAATAGAAAAAGGTTGTAAATCAGATTACAATAAAATCAATCAATGAATTTGTGATGGAATTGGATTGTGATAAAGAATAGGATTTGAAGTGCATTTCAATCAAAGTAATTTGATGATTTCCGGTTTTTTTATAATGAAATGAATGTTTTTAGTTAAATGTTTTCGAAGGGGAGTTGCTGGATTGGCGGGTAAATAAATTTTAGCATTTATAACTTGTTGTTAGTCCAGTTTCTTCATCTTGGACTTTAAAAAAAATTCCCATACATCCGACTTGCGAGCTGTTATATTGGAATCTTCTTCATTTGCTAAAGAAGTTAATTAAACTTCTGAGAAATTGTCGTAATTTTCATTTGAAATTACGCCGTCAGACATTTTGCAAAAACAAAACAATAATGGCAAAACGAAAATTATTCTAGTTAAAATGATCAACGAGTCTTACAATTTTAAGCGACACGGCATTTATATAGATTGATTGATCGTCCAATTTCAGTTCGATCCTTAAATCGAACCGAAACCGGTTCTATGATCAAACCAGAGTACCAAATAAATGCGTCATCATGACTTAAGGGAACGATCGAAAAAGTTGAAGTTCGTTTCATTCTTTGAATTATTGTTTATCGTATGACCTACAATGAGAAAATGATTAATTAGCCAATAATAAACATATTCTTATTTCCTAAATAAATGATGTTTTTAACTGTTGAAAGTTAATTTTTTAACTTCGCACTTTCTAACGTTCAGTAATGGGAAAAAAGAAAGAAATAAACATATTACTTCTCGGTGAGACCGGTGTAGGAAAATCTACATTTATAAATGCCTTCATCAACTATCTCAAATTTGATACTTTAGAAGACGCAAAATCTGGGGAACTGGATTGTCTAATCTCATCTAAATTCTCAATTATGGATGATAACTTTAAGACGAGACCAATAAAAATTGGTGATGATGATCCAAACGAACAACTAGATACTGTAGGAACGTCAGCCACTCAAGGATGTAAAAGTTATTTGTTTCAAGTCGAGCACAACGTGCACATAAGATTGATCGATACTCCTGGAATAGGAGACACAAGAGGAATAGATCAAGACAAGAAAAATTTTGAAAACATCTTAAAATATCTTGGTCATCACAAATATCTTAACGGAATTTGTATTCTCCTTAAGCCCAACCAATCAAGATTGAATGTAATATTTAAATTTTGCATACAAGAGTTGTTATCACATATTCACAAGAACGCAAAGGACAATATTGTCTTTTGTTTTACCAATGCTAGAGGAACATTCTATCGCCCAGGGGATACATTACCAGCACTACAATCACAACTAAATGAGCTCAAGGAAAGATCTGGTGTCGAAATACAAACCAACAGAGACACAATGTACTGTTTTGACAACGAATCATTTAGGTTCCTAGCAGCAATCAAGGGGGGGATAACTTTTACAGAAGAAGATGAAAAAAGTTTTGCAGAGAGCTGGAAAAGATCAGTGGATGAATCTTTTAAACTCTTCACACATCTTGCATCGAGTAAGCCTCACAAAATTAAAGATACTTTATCGTTAAACCATGCTAGAAAGATAGTGATAGTACTTTCCAAACCTCTTGCGGAAATAGGACAGCTCATCCAAGTAAACATTAGTCTGATCAGAGAACAGCAAAACGATATCGAAAATTTCAGCCAATCCATAGAGCAGCTTGAAGACAGGTTGTACATCCCGCAGATAGACCTTGAACCGGTACAGTTGGGATATCCCAGGACTGTATGCACCAGCCAAAGTTGTGTTGAAGTCTTGACTATTGGAGAAAATAATTCATTAAAAAAAGTAAATTACAAGACACACTGTCATACACGCTGTTATTTAACAAATGTTGAATGTGATGTGATAAATAATTCAGCATTAAAAGGATGTTCTGCCATGAAAAACGAAATTTGCAAAATTTGCGGTTGCAAATGGGATAAACATATGCATATTACGTACGAGAACAAGAATGTGATCAAACATATCGTTGACTTAAATGTAGAAAACCAGATCAAGGAAACTAAATCATTTCAAGATAAAAAGAAAGCAATTATAGAAGATAAACAAAAAAGGATCGATCAGCTAAAACAAGAACAGCAGATAATAACCGATATCAACGTTAAATTTGCACAATTTTTAAGGCAGAGCGCGATAGCCATTTTCAATAATGTATATGCAGACTACCTAGATCATTTCATTGAACAAGAAAAAATTAAGAAGTGTGTCGACCCTGATAATTACGATGACGAAATCCTCAAAGGAATTGAAACATCAAAAATAGTATACATGGAAAAAATAGAAGCTATAAAAAAAGCAATCGAGAATAACGATCCTTCGGTACCTCCAATCTCACCAGAAGATATATCCAATCTTGAAGAGCAATTGTATACTTTACCAATCAACGGTCAAACACTAAAAAATATTAAAGATGGAGCGGAGCGTGGTTTAACTAATGTATTCAGGTATGAAGAAAAGTCCTATTGGAGATCATTATCAGGCGAAGGAAGATTTATGAATAGGTTTATAAGATTTATACGATCTTTTTAGGGATTACATCAATAGTATTTTATTTTTCGACTTGTATTTAACATTTCATTTGATAACTTTAAAATACCCTTTTTTTTCTTTTGTATTTGTCTTTTAAGTGAGGAACTCCAGTACAAATATATATATAATTTTTAAATAACTATCGGCTTCGGTTTTTGTTTTTAAAGTTTGGTAAATATACATACCTGCGCCAGATTATGCAACCTAAAAATAATAAAAGTTTCATTATTCAAAAGCTATCAATCTCCTGAAAAACCACAAAAGTCGGCAAGTTTCCTTACCCACTAATTACTATTTGGTAGAATAGACGAATTTTTTAAAGCAATATGTGCAAAATAGCTTGTACACTTTGAATTGAATAATAAAGCGTGACCATAACCCTGATCACGTTACGTTAAATAATATTATACCCTATAAATTCTTCAGAGAAAAAATTTTTTTTGTTTTAAAAATATAGTATTTATTTTTATCTTACTTTTCCTTCTAATTCTAATATACCATGATATTCTTGATAGCATTATCAAAATACTTGCATGAAATCGTGTAAGTGGTTAATCCTTTTTTAGATGTTGGTTTTTCGCAAGGAATATATGCGACCTTTGCAATAAATGCCAGAAAAAATCAAAATTTCTTTTTATATGCCAAATATGATTTTTAAGTTAAATATGTTCAGAATTAGCATTAACTCATTGTTTATTTTTCTGGCAGTTTCCCCTTTGATATTGCAAGGTCCCATGTTCCTTGTTTGACTGATTAGATTAATTTTTTTAATTAAGTTTACCAGATATTATCTTATATTGACCTGAGCTTAAATATGTGTATTTCTCTAATTTATTAATTTATTAACGTTAATTTTTAAAGGGATGAAAACAATATCATCTGTAATCTTTACATATACGAATAACTTTAATAAAAGATTGGACGAAAATTTACGAATCTTTTTATCACATACCTCTTAATGCTTTTTGAAATATGTCAGCCAAAGTGCAAAGAACAAATTTGTAAAATCAAGTAGACAGAAACATCCTTAAAAAAATAACTGGTATTAAACGCAAATCAAATGTTTATTTTTTTATCATTCCGAAACCGTCATATTTAGATAACTTTGGTAATCTTGTTAAAGCTATAAAATGTCTTTCCGCGTTCGCTCATATTTCTTTGTTATCCTTTCATAAAAATTAGATATAATTTGGATTTACTATAATTCCTTCAATAATTTATAATGGTCTTCTGTATATAACTTTTTGTTATTATAAAAATAATTTTTCAAAAAAAAAAAAAAATTTTGAAATTCAGAAATTCAGTTAGTTACACAAAAGTTTATCTTTACCCAGAAATTGATTTAATGTTGATAAAACTCCCCAAACGGGACGACGGGAACTTTTATATTATCAGATGATCACGGGTATTTGCGACATTTTCGTTTCTCAAAGTCAGGGGTTATTAAAATTTTGGGTACGATTTTTCGTTATTGTCTTTATTGTATCTAGAAATGGAATCGTATGTACATTTTTTTTTTGTCATTCATCCGATTGATACTATACCAAAACAGGGCATGTTATCTCCAGATTATCACTAAATGATGAACTCCTATCTTAAGATTTTAGCGAAAAATTTTTTTTAGGTTCAATGGGTGTAAAAATTCTGTGTTTCATAAGGTTGATCGATAATGCCATCAGGACAAGAAAATTTTTGAAAATATTTTTTAGTATATTGGCAATACAATTTATCTAAATGCATCTTAAACACGATTATTATCAATTGTCTTCACATTGTCTTTTGCTTTACCAACAGATTAAGATGAATCTTTGAAAATTTGTCTCAAATCATTAAAACTACGCTAGAAGGATTACGATATTTTTTTTTTTAATGATAAGTTAGAAAAAGAAAAATATAGATATATTAACGTCCATTTACACCGCAAGAAAAAAATTAAAGAATTTCGACCCTAATAAATAGGTTTACGAAAGATACTTTTTTTTCTTATATATTCCTCATAGGAAGATTTTCACGAGCAGATCTAATAATTTAATTATTTATACGTGACACGTGATAAAGTATTTTATTTACTGTATTATCTTTGAAATAAATAGGCACATTATTTTCTCGGGTGGGTTGGCTTATGAAAAAAATCATCTCCTTCACCATCATTATTTAAAACAATACAATTTTTTACCCAGATTTATTCAATCTAATATAACAAATCATAATATGGAGTGGAGTCATCAATGAGGTTTCAAGAACAGTTTAGGAATTTATAGAGGAGAAACACATTCACTAACCAGAAATTAGGGTATTAGCATGAATATATGTGTATATTCTGGCGTTGATGTATCTTTTCTAGCTATAAAACATCAATATGATTCCGATTAATTAATTAATGAATAGGTTCGTGATAAATCAACTCGTGAACTCACTCTACAAAACTATATATATATATATATATTAGATACGACAAAACATACCAAAAAAGAAAAGTTACACAATCTGAGTTCAATCAGCATATTTGTATTGAAACTTTATTTATAATGATTTAGTAAATTCCTATAATAGAAAGTAAAGATAATATGTAAAAATCTCTCCGCTGGTTTGACAATTAGACACAATGAATAATCGGGGATTACCTGAGAATATAATATTCCGAAAATAATTATAAAAAAAGATGGTTTTTTCCAAAGAACCGGATGTTGTAAATAAAAGATATATATATATATTTTTTTTTAATCGAAATTTCATAAAATTTTTCAGAAAAATTGTAAAATGATGAGCTATTATTCCATTGAGGGTTCACTATTCCATCCAATTTCTGTTTGCGTAATCTTTTTGATTATTTTGTATATTATAAGACGACCTCGCATAGGAATAGTAAGTAACATAGTCCCGGTTTATAAATTCTTTTAATACACATTAAATTTGACCTTACTTTTAAATAGAATGAACCACCTTTTGTACCTTACGCGATTCCAATTCTTGGACATACATATAATTATTTAATTCACACGAAACGCTTTATTAAAGAATGTAAAGGGCAGGTAAACTTTTAATTCAACAATATGATTATTCTTTTTTTTTTTTTTTAAAAAAAAAAAAATTGTGAACTTAACGTACCCTTTTCTTAGTATGGTGACTGTTTTTCGATTTATGTATTCGGACGTGTCATTACGATAGCCGCAAGAAGTTCGTTGAATGAAGTATTTAAAAATCATGAAGACTTTGGTAGTACAGTTCCTGAGGTATAATAAGGTTAATATCTAAGCTAATAAATTTGATCCTTGCTAACACTGTAATTCTATTATTGTATTATAGTCGATTCCTTTTCATAAGTTGTTCCTTTACAGCAATGGTTTAAGTAAAGAAGTACTTCGTTTTAATGCTAAGATTACCAGAGAAGAAATTTCCGCCAAATTTGATGTTTACGCCCCAATCATACAAAAATATATCTCGAAAGGGATCGATAAATGGATTGGGAACTGTGAAGGTGTGAATCGGACACCGCAGCATTATTTACATTTTTTTTTTTTTTTTTTAATTTATTAAAATATCAAGTAATTTATTTAATTAATTCTAGAACCAAAAGTCTTTTATGATACTTGGATGAGAGCTAATAATATAATCGCTTTACTGATTGCTAATATATTGGTTGGAGAGGTATTTCTATATTTATTTATTTTTTTTTTATTTATCTTTTTAAAATTTAATTTCAAAATTTTTTTTTTTCAACAAAATATTAGAAAGCGGCGACTCATGATCTAGTAAATTCATTAGCGAATTGGTCTTTTGATTTGGGCATATTGGTAGCACTTCCACCAATATTTTCTTTCATCCATCCGAAACTTCACGAATTCCTAGTCACGTAAGTACGATGTTACTCTGCATTACCTTCCGATTATGATGTTTTAAAAAAAATTTTTTTTTTTTTTTAATAGATTACCTATAATATTGGGATGGAATCCGATAACATCTCATCGAAAAGTTATCATAGAAAATGTGGGACCAATAATCGAACGACGTCTCAACGAGAAAAAAGTATGGGGCGAGAATTATAAACCTTGTGTAAATAAAATTTCTTTTCAATAAAAAACTTTTTTTTTTTTTTTTATATGTTGGTTACATTTTTTTTTTCATTTAGAATGACCTACTTGAATATTATATAACTCAACCGGATTTCGTTAATCGATTTCAATATTATATTGACACCTTATTTATACTAACTTTTGGTGCAATCGGAACAACAAGTAGAGCAACCACCAATGCATTATTCGGTAATTATAGTTTGAACCATTATGTGAAATAAATGAATTACACCCCCTTAAAGAATTGATTTTGCAACCATTTTTTAGATTTGGGGGGTAGACCACAATTCATGAAGGAATTATATGAAGAAGCATTACGAATTGATAAAGAGTGTAATGGATCACCTAAATTATCCGACCTAAAAAGGATGAAAAAGTTGGATAGTTTCGTTAAAGAATCTCTTAGGCATACTGATGAAATAGGTGGGTACTTGAAAAAGATTTCCGTGAATTGAAAAAAGTATATCTCACTTATCTAATATTATTTATTAGTCAACCTTCCTCATATTGTTGAGTCAGAAAGTTACACTTTCTCTAATGGTTACACAATTCCAAAAGGTAAATTATTCAAATTATTTTTTTTTATATTCTTATTTAAAAATATGATTTGATTAAATTTTCCTTTTTTTATATATATTATATGTTTGTAGGACGAACTGTAAAAATGTACATGGAAGATTTATTAAAGTCAAAAGAAGCGTATGGTGAGGACGCTGAAGAATTCAAGCCATTTCAATTTGTAAATACGGACTCTTCTGCGACAAAAATTGATCGTTCCTTTGCTGTATTTGGTGGTGGTAAACATGCATGCCCCGGGTAAATTTTTTTTTTTTTTTTTTTTTTTTTATGAATTTCAAATTCACTCATTAACGTTTATTTTATTATTTTATTAGTCGATTTTTTGCCATAAACGAAACAAAACTCGTATTACATAAATTGATTTTGAAATATAAAATTACGACACACAGTGGGAAGGTTGACAATAAACTAGTTATTGGTACTATTACATTACCTCCTAAAAGTGGTTTGGTCTTTGAAAATAGGCAAATGTGAGGTTTTTACACATAAAAAAAAAAGGAAAATCTGGAAAATCTTGGAAAATCTTGGAAAATCTTGGGAAATCTTAATTGGTTGTTTATGAACGTTACTATGGGTCAAAATTTAAATTTTCCCCCTTTTCTATTGTTGCATGATTTAAAATAATAGAATACGTTTCTTTGCTTATTTAAAATTTAGAAAAGATTAATGTAGTGAAATAAAATATACATATAAATAAATAAAAAAAAAAAAATTACCGGTATTTTTTTTTTTATTGAAAACATTGGCACATGAAAAATTTTTTTTTCTATTAATTTTCCGAGAACGCGTAATGAATATTAAGAAATTTTCTTTTATAAAAAAAAAAATACAAGTTTTTTTTTCTTTACCCAGTAAAAGATCCTACCTAATGCTAACCTTATATTAAATAATATACTTTTTGAAAATATGAAAAACTTTTTTTTAAAAAAAAATTAAGCGTCAACACTTAATTATCCTTATTATTGTCTTTTTTAAAAATATGCAGATGAAAAATATCTCCTTTTAAATTTATACTATTTATCCAAGCATAGAGGTCGGTTTAAACCCATTCGACAACAAACTAGTTAATCCACCACTAAGACTCGGTCCTCGAGCTCTCTTCATTACAACTTTTTGATGTCGCGCCCTAAATGCTTGATGATCAAGCATGTCAAGAAATTGGTGTTTCCGTCTACCAGTAAAGCCAGCCATGGGCGCCTAAAGTGCACCATTTTGTTCCAAAAGAAAATAAAGTTAAAAATGGATTCTCAATATATATATATATTATTTTAAAATACACACGCATATTAATTTACCTTCGGGAACTTTAGATCTCCTTTTCCTTCTCCTTTGACTTTTTCAGAAGTCTGTGGTAACTCATCTTCTTTTTCTTTACTTTTAATCTTTTCGAGCTGAACCATTACTGACTGGAAATTTTCATCCCTAAATATACAATTATATTATGAGATTAAATCAAAACAAACACAAAAGTATAGAATTCTTATCTCACCCCTTCACGGTGTTCGTGCTCTCCGCATCCTCAACCGCTGTAACGACTTGTCTTGTTGACATGGACTCCATGACCTTTTGCGAAGCATCAGTAGCATTAAGCTATAATGGAAGAAGTGCACCAACAAGAGTTGAATTGTTTGTTATTTTATAAAATACAATTAATTATATATATTTTTTATACATTATCTGTAAAAGACAGCGATTCCAAATTATCAACAATATCAAACTAAGAGAGTAAAGTAAATTGTTAAATTAAAATTTCTTTAATCAAGAATGCAATTAATAAAATCAATGGTATTTACTTCGGTCAACATTGAATCAACGTCATCATCGCTTTCCAACATCTTTTGATTAAACTCGGATAATGAAAACGATTCATTATCGCCTATAAAGATTTTGTATTAAATCAAATGTTTATAACATAAGGTAGCAACAAAAATAACTTTCATACCTTCATCATCGTCACTGCTTTCACTTGATGAGGTATCGCTTGACGTAGTTTTGGTTGATAATGAAGGCAAACGATTAATCTCATCGTCAAAAGAATTGAATCTTCTTTTTTTCGTAGAAGAATTTATTGGATTCGGTGACTGTCTTTTTTCCGGTCTAGCAGCGTTGCTAATTTCAAATTTATCAAAAAAAGGGTTATGGGAAGCCAAAACTACAAATTCAAACATTGTTTAAATAAAGGTTTACATTAAGATTAAATTGGATCTATTGATTTACTTCTTTTTTTGGCTTACGTTCGTCGTTATAATAATCGGATTCCTCAAATTTCTTTG